AATTCTTTCACATATTCTGTGATGTAAATGTTGTTAGTCTTGATCCCTCAGTGCCTGACTCCCAATGTCTCCCCTTTCCCTCCCCTCTCTCTCACAATAAACCATTAAGTATGATGGCTTGCCCACAGTGTCACAGCTAGCCAGTAGAAGACCACCTTAGGTACAAATCCACATCTTGGAGACCTTAAGGCCAGAACTTAAAGTGTATTTCTTTTTTTTTTTTTCTAATTCCTGAATAGCCTTGCTTCTTCCTCTTTGAGTGAGAAGCTACTTTGGGCTTTCTTTTTTAAACCTTGATACTATCCTCATGCATTGGGTTCATCTTTCCTTCTGACTCTCAGCGTTCTACTACTGCAGTTGGGTCAGTGTCGTGGATCCAGGGCCATTTCAGATTATCTTTGATTTAGGGATTTCATTTGGATGGTAATAGTACCATCTCACAGAGTATACATTTTAATTAGCTATATATTTGTTGGTGATCTCCCCTCTAGAATGTAAACTTCAAGAGAGCAGGGAATTTTATCTCTTTTGTTCACTACCGTATTCCCAGCATCTAAATAGTCCCAAACACCACAGTAGATGATCAGCAAATATTTGTTAAATATGAATGGGTTGGCAGAGGGGGAGTTACGTTTCTTGAAGAGTCCTTCTCTTTAGAGTCTTCTTCCTAAACTACATTTCTTGTTCCTTTCTCTGTATTCTGGCAAATTCCCTGGCCATTTGAGACCTTAGAAGAGTTTTCTAATGTGCTCTTATTCCTAAGGGAAGCTGATGGTTCACATTGCTGTGATTCCCTAAGTGGAGACCCGGGCTCCCGAGGGAAGGAAGTTTGTATCCAGACCAGCAATGTTTACCACATTGCAAGAGGGAGGAGCGGAATTCTTACTCTTAGGGAAGTCACGTGTTGTGAGCCCTGCCCTTGCGATATTGTGATGGTTAGTGCCAGGGCCTTGGGGCTGTGCCAGTTTCTGGGGCGGGTGCCAGAACCAAAGACATGCTCAAAGGCTGACTCTGGAGAGCTCCAGTTAGCTTATTTTCCCTTTTTCTTCATTAAACCTATATCCTCAGACTGTGGGCCCATATTTATAGGGTGAGCAGTAGATCAGATCTAGCCTTTCTTACCCAGGATTCTAGAAGTTTCTTTTCTGAAACTCAGAGGAAAGTAAGGCAGGGAGGAGAGGCAGATTTTGTATTTGTAGTTGAAAATGCTAATTGGAAGCTCTCTAGAAAATCCTGAGAGAGTCTTGGGTTTTCTGGACCACTGGGAGTGAGTTTAGACCTCATGAAGATGAGAGTTACCTCTAAAGAGGGGAGGTTGGACCCTCAGAGCCAAGATGGGCTGCAACAGGGACAAGAAGGGGAAATAAAATGCCCTACAGGATTTCTGTCACTTTGGTTTGCCTAAAGTTTCTGGTATGGCTGTATACCAGGGTCCAAAGTCCCAGCGAACTGGAGATGGGAGAGTAATATAGCTCTTGTGGCTGTTGAAAAATCACACTACTAGAAGTAAGTAATGAGGAAGTACTAAGAGTTTAGGTAAATGTAACAGAGAATCTAAAAAGCGAAGCCTGGAAGCAGCTCTGGATTCCTCGTTGTTCCATCAATGCTAGTTTGGAGCCAAGGAAGCTTTGGCAAACAGTTGTAGAGCAGAGAAAGCCACTTTGTGAAACAAAAGGAAATTCCCTTGGGCATAACCTTAAAAAATGAAGTCCTTTGCAAACTAGTGAATGTGAACTTAGCCTTCTAGTCTTGTTTCCCATGAGACACATCCACATATCCTGTCTTCACACCTTTATGCTTCACTTACTTCCAGCACATCCAAAGTCTAACTTTGCAAGGCTTGTCTTAATGTCACCACCTCTGATGCTTTTTGCAGAATTCTGTGTCAAAATTCATCCCTTTCTTCTTCTCTGGTTCCCTATTACCCTTTGTTTAGAACTCTGTTATAGCAAATCATTTGAAAAATAAAACAAAACAACATAAGTCTGCCTATCTCCCACATGCAAATCTTTGAGGTAGGGACTCTGAGTTACTATTTTTTTATTAACTCAGACCTGTTATGAGGGAAGGATTGATGCATCTGTTTCCCCTGCCTTGAATCCTGTAGTGCCTGGCACATAGCAGACTCTCAGTAACTTTTTTGCTTACTAGAATTGATTCTGGGTTAATCAGATGAACACATTCTACAAGTAGGCTGACCTGACTCTTCTTTCCCTCCCCACTTTGGGCAGTGACCCGCATTGTGGCTGGTACATCGTGCTCCTGGCTCAGTCGCACCTATGGCAGGGGGCACTATTTACTTTACTTACTCCTGACTCCAGCATTCTCCCTTTGATCTCTGCTGCCTGCCCCAGATAGCCACTACCATTGTCCTGCCCCAGGAGCTAATGTTTCTCTTTCCCAAGCTCCTGCCTCTCCACCTCTCTTCCCTAGTATATTTTGAGAATGAGGCCCAAGGAATCTGTGATAATGGGGAATGGCTAGAATGGGATTAAGAGTATGGTCTCTCAGCTCCCACGGGTTCCAGTCTGGTCCAGCTGTCTCCTTTTTCTCTGCTCCCTTTTCTTGACACCTTGGGGAACTTGTTCCTCAGCTGGATGGCAGGTCATCTGGGATGTGAAGGATTGCAGGTTGTGATCCTCGGAGAAGCTGGATTGCCCTTTTGACTAAAATTTTGCTGTTCAGGGAAGTAAATAGGATAGTAATTATATGTGTGGGCCCTGAAGCCAGACTGCCTGGGCTCTAACCCTGTGCCACCACTTACTAGCTGGGACCATCTCAGCCAAATGGGGTCATGCTAGTGCCTACCGTGCTCATTTATTCACACATAGTTACTGAGCCTCTACCGTGAGGTGACCTCAGCGTTCTTCTAGATGCCAGGAAAATAGTAGTAGAAAACACAAAAATGGTTTAATACATTTTAAGTACTTAGAGCAATGTCTAGCATATTTAAGTATTCGACAATTCTAGCAATATGCTGTTGCTAGGACTTTTCTGAGAATAGATGGTCAGGTGGAATAACTTTGCCAGCAACTGCAGGACCAGATCTCTCTGAGAAGGGGAAGGACAGAGGAAGGGCTTAGATTAGTTTCCACATTTAGACACAGGTCCAACATTTCTGGCACTTCATTTTGAGGTTAAATACTTGAGCTGAGTGAAGGTCACCCTGAAAAATTGATGAATCTGTTTGATTCCATGGAAAGGGCAGGAGGAAATGACTCTGGACTGCCTCATTCTGCCTAACCCATTTGTGTAGATAGCACAGTGCCTACCAAGTCATGTATGAGTGACCCTAAGAGAGGCTGCATTTCTTGGGTAGTATGAAGGGAGATGCTAGAGGTCAATATATAAGGAAGGAGGGCAGCTGTTTGCCTCCCCACCATCAGGGCTCTCTGGCTGTGGAGGAGAGAACCCTCTTTTGAAGGCGGTGTCTTGAGAGTTAGAGAGCTGAACTTAGGAAGTAGAGTGAGGTAGGGTAGAGGTGGTGTGGCCTGATAGTTTACCTTCCCTGTTTCAGTTCATTCCTCAGGGAATGCTGCCAGAGGGCTGTTAGACTCCTAGTGTGATTACTGGCTAGAGGCAAAGTTTGGACTCGGGGCACTGATTCATTGCCTGTGGTTTCCAGTGAAAGTCCAGGCCTGATATAGTCTTTATGGGGATAGGGTTGGAGTAGAAATGTATGTGACATTTCCTGGTAATCAACAAGGTTTTCAGCTATCCTGACTGGTTCAGCACCTGCTTTCCTGTTTCTCACACTTTCTCTTTTCTACCTTTCTCCCACGAGGGGCTTTCAGAAATGAATGCCCTTATAGCACAAAAAGGTGCCCTTGACCCACGATATGGGCCAATCCAGGATTCTTGGGTTGGTTCCCATGTGAGCTGCTAGCATGGCTGCTCTTGGGGACCTGCTAACTTGGCTGGGAACCATGGTGATTTGCACGCCTAGGAACAGGTGAAATAGTTCTGGGCCCTTTCCAAGATTCCGAAGTGCAGCCAGGTTTGGGACCACTAGATACCCTACTCTTTCATCTCATTTTTATTGCACTTTGTTCAGTCTTCAGCCATTCCCTCAACCCAGTTCAGCCAAGTGTATGAAACTACAACTAGGCAAATCATTTTGCTCTGGATATAAGTCCACAGTTCATTCTGTAGTGAAGGAAACAGATAAATATAATGTAATCATAACAGTGTTTCTCAGCCTTTTAAAAATTATCACTTCCCTGAGGAACCTTTTAAGACATTTTTTGCCTAATCACTCCCTCTCAGGAAATTTTAATGCCATAGATATACCAAAAAATCTATGTACGCTGTGTGTGTGTGTGTGTGTGTGTGTATGTGTGTGCACGCTTTATGCTTTAAAAGAGTAAATTTTTTTTACCCCTCAAGAACAGTTTTCACCCCCTTGGAGGAATCTCAGCCCACTGTGAGCATGTGGGTGATAGAGTAAAGGAGTGTGGGACAGCAGTGGGGAATGGAAAATGGCAGGGGGCCTCAAAAGTTTTGTCAGCTTTGTTTTTCCTGTCTCCTCTGCCTGAACATCACAGCTCCATAATTTTTTCTTGTGTTTCAGTCTGTCATTACCATTTTGCTCTCTCTCCTTTATCCTGAATTTTATCATGTTTCTCTAGTTTAGGAATGAATTTAATGAAAATAGTAATTTGTTCAGCTCAGGGAAAATTTAGGAGAAATAATTTCCTAAAGTAGCCCTCTAGGAAATCATCCCTTTGGAAAAAGAGCCTAGAAATCTATAGGGTATTCATGGGAAAACGTAATAGACCTAAGGATTAGGGGAAATAAGATATACATTTGGAGTTGCCCTTCAGAGGAGATGTCCCGAGAAATCTTTATATTGGTGCCACCAGGCTTGGATATGGACGCCCCCTATTGGATCTAACTGCTTTATATTCATTTGGGGTTGATGCCAGTTCTGCATGTGGGGTATTAGATCGCTTCTCCAGCAGTACAGTGTAACCAATGACAGTATCTCCTCTCTCTTACAGAAACTGCCAGAGGCATGCAGCATTGGTGATGGAAAGCCCTTTGTCATGAATCTGCAGAATCTGTATATGGCAGTCACCAAACAAGAGGTCCAAGTGGGACAGAAGCATCAAGGCACTGGTGAGCACTCCAGAGGTACCTGGTCTGTCTGAGGATACAATTAGGATCTAGGTTTATGCTGTCCAATATGATAGTTTTCTAGCCGCATATAACTATTTAAGTTTAAATTAATAAAAATGAAATAATACTAAAAATGTATTTTCTCTTTTGCACCAGCCTCATTTCACGTGATTAGTAGCCACATGTGGCTGGTGGCTACCAAGTTAGTGCAGACACAGAACATTTCCATCACTGCAGAAAGTTTGATTGGGTGGCTCTGGTCTAGGTGCTTAGAAGGGTTAGCAAAAGAACCAGGAGAAAGATTAGTTTCCCTGGCTGGGTGCAGTGGCTCACACCAGTAACCTAGCACTTTGGGAGGCCAAGGTAGGAAAGGCCAGGAGTTTGAGACCAGCCTGGACAACATAGCAAAAACCTCATCTCTTAAAAAAAAAAAAAAAGTTAATCTCCATACCTGAGACATGTCAGGGAATATGTAGAAGAACAGCTGGCTATTTTGAGTAAAGGAAACTCTCATCCTACCTGCTGAAAGTGGGCCTGGGGAAATCTTCATAGCAGAAACAGGGCTTTCTGAAAGTCAGCTGGAAGTTGGACCTGTGGCTACTTCTGTCTACTTACATATTCGTACCAAACCCTGGCCTTTATCAGAATGCTTGGTGAATACTAATGTCTTCCTGGTAAGAAGAAGGCATTTATCACTATCTTCTCTTGATCTTTCTGATTTCAGGAGATCCTCAGACCTCAAAGAGTGCTTCCCCGCAAGGAATTCATAGCCAATGTGTAAACCAGCCAGAACAACTGGTCTCCTCAGCTCTAACCCTCTCAGTGCCTGAGAAAGAGTCCACAGTAAGTCATGAGCAGCTTCTTGGATGGTGTTCTGAGAGTTGGCACCTATATCCCCCAAACCAGTGGTCCCTGAAACTGCTACTTCATTGGCACTGCCTCAACAATATTGAGGGATATTTGTGACCAGGCTCCAAATTGTAGGTGTCTAGATGGAGAGTCATGGTCTTGCACATCTTCCCTTGCTGTCTCTTCTCTGTAGTTCTTGTACGAATGATGTGCCTCGACTCCTCTTTCACCTTATCCCACTTCCAGTGATGGCCAGTGATGACCAGTGATAGTCAGCGAGGCTGTTCCTTGGGGGAGAAGGGACATCTCCATCTCCTGCTTAGGGTCTTATATCACATTTGCTGCCTGACATAGACTTCAAAATACCTATGTCAGACACTTCCTGAATGCCTCTTCTTTCTAGCTGGGCATGGTGGCTCACGCTTGTTATCACAACCTGTGGGAGGCCAAGGCAGGAGGATCACTTGAAGCCAGGAGTTTGAGACCAACCTGGGCAACAAAGTAAACCCTATCTTTACAAAAAACAAAATTAGCCAGATATGGCGGCATGTGCCTGTGGTCTCAGCTGCTTTGGAGGCTGAGGCAGGCGGATTGCTCGAGCCCAGGAGTTCAAGGCTGCAGTGAACTATGATTGTGTCCATGTACTCCAGCCTGGGCGAAAAAAAAAAAAAGAAGGCCTCATCCTAACCAGGAGCCATGAGAGGAAGAAAGTTCCTTTCCTAATTTCAGTGGAACTATTTCAAAACCCCTACTAACTTGGGTTCCCTTTTTTCTAGGGTACTTCAGGCCCTCTGCAGAGACCTCAGCTGTCAAAGGTCAAGAGGAAGAAGCCAAGGGGGCTCTTCAGTTAACCTGTTGTGGCCTCAGCTGCTGAGGATGGACTTGGAGAATAGCTTCCAAGCTTCACCTTGAAAGAAGCTTGCATGGCAGCAATATTTCTAAAACAGTGACCCAGTCAGAGGCCTACTGTAAGGGCAAGAAAACTGAAGTTCATGTTGACAGGTCCACAGGGAATTGGCCTTCCTATTCAAGTGGAAGCCAGTCTCTGAGAATCCCATGCTCTCCTCTCTTTTGGTGGAGGTTCTGTAGATTCAGGTTTCTACCATGGACTTTAGGTATATAGGACAAGTCAGCAAGAAAGCACCACACACTCAGGGAGCCTTGTCTACCTTTCCCTAGAGTCTCTAGCCAGCCAGCCCCCGACACTCCTCAGAGACCCACTTCTGTCTTTTGCATGGAATAAGAAGCACTCACACTCCCCTGCTTTTGGGATCACTTATGCTGTGGAACTCATAACCCAATTCACTTCACTGGGTACCACCCCATTGTTGTCTCTGGATGAAGTCTAGCCATCAGTCCAGTCCTTCAGATTCTTCTTAAACTTCTCTGCAGTGGCCAGAGCTAAACCTCCATTTGGAAACTTCGATCTTGAGAACTCTCTTCATGGTGGGCACAAGATAGATAGATGATTGCTGCTTTCCTGTGTCAAACTTGAATGCATTTTTCTCTTTGTTTCCAAAGTATAGGCAACAGGTTAAACTACCATGCGGGGTAGTTTATCGATCCTCCCACCTCATCCTCCTGAGTAACTGGGACTAAAGGCACACACCACCACGCCTAGCTAATTTTTGTATTTTTTGTGTGTGTGGAGACAAGGCTTTGCCATGTTGCCCAGGCAGGTCTTAAACTCCTGGGCTCTAGTGAGATCACTGCCCACCTCAGCCTCCCAAAGTGCTGGGTTTACAGGCATGAACCACCATGCCTGTCCCATTTCTGGTTTATTTACTTGTGATGGTTAAATGCCTCCTTATTCATATATCTTGTATATATACTGGTGTTTCTGTCCTGATGTCAAGTCTCAAGAGAAGATGATCAAACAATAATAAAATAATTATAATAAGAAAAACAGGCCGGGCGCGGTGGCTGGCCGGGCGCGGTGGCTCAAGCCTGTAATCCCAGCACTTTGGGAGGCCGAGACGGGCAGATCACGAGTTCAGGAGGTTGAGACCATCCTGGCTAACACGGTGAAACCCCGTCTCTACTAAAATACAAAAAAAATTAGCCGGGTGAGGTGGCGGGCGCCTGTACTCCCAGCTACTCGGGAGGCTGAGGCAGGAGAATGGCGTGAACCCGGGAGGCTGGGCTTGCAGTGAGCTGAGATCCGGCCACTGCACTCCAGCCTGGGCAACAGAGCTAGACTCCGTCTCAAAAAAAAAAAAAAAAAAAGAAAAGAAAAACAATAATAAATAGCTAACATTTATTGAGCAGTTAATGTATACCAGGTACTCTAATGAGCACCTGACATTGATCCTCATGGCATTGTATGAGGAAGATGCTGTTAACCCACTAAGAAATTGGGTCTTGAATGAGTAAGTGACTTATCAAAGATCGTACAGCTAATAAGTGACAGCCAGAATTTAAGCCCAGACAGCTGAGTTCTTCGCAGCATTATTATATACACTAATGAAAACATTTATTTTCCAGAAAGGACATTAGGTCCTTCTTTCCAGTCTCCCACTGTAAACGTCTGTATCCCATGACCTTGCCTCTTTTCAATAGGATGTTCTACTCCCCTGGGCCTCTTCAAGGAAGGAGCTCTTGAGGACTCCAGGACTTACCCTCAGGCTTTTTCCTGCTAGCAGAGTCTGAGAGCTCCACCAAGGCTCCTTCCCAGTCACTGCTGATAACTTTACCCCCAGACCAGAGGACCCTAGAGTGTGCTATGTGGTAGTGACTGTCATCGAAGTGAATTGGGAACTAAATAAAAACAGCCTATCAGCTGGCTTACTTTGCCCTTTCGTTTCTTTCTTTCTTTTTTTTTTTTTGAAATGGAGTCTTGCTCTTGTTGCCCAGGCTGGAGTACAATGGCACGATTTTGGCTCACTGCAGCCTCCACCTCCTGTGTGCAAGCGATTCTCCTGCCTCAGCCTCCCGAGTAACTGGGATTAGACACCCACCACCAAGCCCAGCTAAGTTTTGTATTTTTAGTAGACACGGAGTTTCACCATGTTGGTCAGGCTGGTCTTGAACTCCTGACCTCAGGTGATCTACCTGCCTCGGCCTCCCAAAGTGCTGGGATTACAGGTGTGAGCCACCGCACTTAGCCGATCTTTTGTTTCTTTTCAGCATAATTTAGATAGTCAGATTTCATTATCTACAAGGCACATGGGAAATGGAAAGGCTTCCCAAGCAAGCTTGGAGAAAATACGGGTTCTTCACCCTGGGCATTCCCTGTACTCTAAGAACACAGACTCAAGACATTTTTCATCACAGCGGGGCCAGAGGCCTGTGAATCCCTCAAAATAGTAGGTAAAATCTTAAGAGCAAAATGTTGATGTTCTCAAAAAGAATGTGTGACCTTCCAAAAAGGTTAAGTAATAGTATAGCTAGTAACCTTCCATCCACTGCCCCCCTCATCCCCAAAGGTTGCTGTCTCCATGGGGGTATTGCTTAAATACGTCCTTAGAGAAACATTGCTACGAGAGGCCCTGCCATAGGCATTCTTGCCCTGAAGCCCTTACCCCCAAAAACTAGGGGTAGTGGTTGAGCATCATTCATCCTAAGGCAACTCCAGGGAAATCCCTGCTTTGACAAATTGGCCTAGCCAGGCTGTATTCCAGCCCTGCCCCCTGGCTTGGGCCCCTCCCTGAGGCCCCCAGCCTGGCCCAACCCCCACTCTACATGCACATAAAAGGGTCGAATTCTCGTGGCTGCTCCATAAATTTTATTCCGTAAATATTAGTTTTCCCTGTGTTTAATAAAGCAGTGGCCCACCTCCCCGCCTACCCGCCCGCTCCCCGGGGCTGGGGCTGGGGCCAGAGCTGGCTGGTGGGAGAAGGGACTCTTTCAATTGCTTTGGAGTATTTTTAGAAAAAAAAATAATATAAGGTGGTTTACACGAGCAAGCCAGCAAACCAGGAGCAGGACTTGGGACCTCGAGGAAGTTCCTGCAGGAACTCGACCTAAAAAGTAGAGAAATAGCGCCACCTAGGTTGCAAGGCCTACTTGGCCTTGCCGGCTGGTCCCCCGTAGTTAGCTAGGACAGGCATGCTCTTTGCTTGGAGAGAAAGCCTCATCCCTTTCCACTCCAGCTGGATAGCACCTCCTTTTCTCATGCCTCAATGGGGACTTCCCCAGCAACTCTTAAAAGCAGAGCTCAGGCTGGGTCCTGAAAGATACCACTAGGGTCATTCTCTTCTCTTGTCACCAGGCAGCCAGTCTCCCAGATCAAGGAGAATTTCCAAGGGATAGTAAAGTTATTGAGAAGGCAAAAAGAAAACTTCTAGTCTCTATCTTTCCCTGACTCCTGTGGAGCTAATTCCTATGGTGTAAGGTGGCAAAGAGTGAGATCTGTGTTCCTGTGCTCTGAACTGGAAAGAGTCTAGCCTGTTGAGACCAAAATCCTTCCACAGGCCTGGTGCAGCGCACCCACAGTGAGCACTGGGGGAAGAAGAGATGCTCACATTTCTTGATACTCAGCCCTACTGCTGCTTGTTTTTATCCAGCAGTACATTTGGACTCCCTTTTCTTTCCTTCCTTTTCACTTAGACCTCCCATTTTCCCAAGCCCTTACCTCCTCCTTAGCCCACGTCTGTTGGGAGATAAGCAGGGGCCCCTTGTATACTCTGTACAAAGCTGGCGGGAGGAGTGGGGAATGGAAAAGGCTATGCTGCTCCTCCTGGTTTCATTCCTTACATTGTCACCAGGAGCATTTTTCTCTCTCCATTTATTCTGTCTCTCATTTTCTCCAACTTACAAAACTACACAAATTCACTCCAAAGAGTATAGGGTAAGCCTAAATTCTCTTAATAGCCCTTCCTCATGATATGGTAAGGACTTGTCTGTTCTGCTTGTGCTATTAATGTAGACTGTGTTAATAGACACATTTCTTGTGCACTTTTCTGTTTTCATCCTTTCGTTAGATTATACTCTTTGAGAACAGGGTCAGTGTTAACCCTAACTCAGAAAATATCACTACAGGGGTATTATACCATTAAATAATATAATTTTACGTTAACTAGGTTTTGATATAATCAGAATATGTTTTTCTAAACTCTGCTGTGAAATAGTTTCTGTCTTCTAATTTTTCTTGAAGAAAAATCTGTTTGAAAGGAATAAGTGACATACTGCAAGGAAGCTACCAAACTCAGAGCTCAAGAACCTTGGTTCCTCATCTCTGTTACTAACATGCATAAATGTATGGGCTAGCAAAATTGTAATGGATTACGCTAGGCTCTTAGATACAGAGGGGAATGCAGGAAGAGAAGGAAGCCCACGCTTTGTAGGAGGGGGGTTCCCAGCTGCAGTGACGCCCTGGAAGCTGCTACAGGGTACTCTTGTCCAGGGCAGCTCATTGCTCTGTGTTTTTTCCTTGTGTTCTTGGCCAAGGCCTCAGAAGACCTCACCATGAGTGGAACATCCAGTGTGTGGAGGGTATGAGGTAGCTTGTCTTATGTGAGGAAGAGGGACCATAGGGAATCCTTCTCTATTTGAGGATCTAGAAGTCCATCTGTTCTTGATCTTTCATCCCATCTTCTGAGACTTTTTTTTTGTGGTGGCCTTTTATGTATCCTTTCAGCTCTGGGCTCTCAGTTCTCTATCCTAGCACACAGGAAATCATTAGGTAGCACCGAAGTATTCTAGCAAAGGCTTCATCACTCTTCTCAGCTATTAAGTCCCACCCCACTCAGTTTCTCTGTTTGGAGTCCAACAGATTTTGCTACCCTTCCACCCACTCAGCACCCAACTCTCATGGGTTCTTGAGAATCTGGGCCAGTCTACCAGGGGAACCCGGAAGAAGCACTGGAAGAGCTCCAGGGTGTGGGGAGCGCACAGCCATTGACTCACCTGGGAAGATTGTGCTAGGATTACTTGTCCTGCTGGGCCAAGGGCCAGTAGTTAAAGGAGCATGCAGTGCCACACTGTTCCTCCCTCCCCTTACTCTGGGGCCCAAAACAGTAGCAGAGTTAGAATTGGGGAGTAGGGCTCAGGGGCTGCTGGGAGTCCCTTCTGAAATGTGTTGTATTTACTTTTTCATATTGGCAGCTGGAAGGGGAAGCCCATCCCAGCTCGGCATTGTTGTCTAACATGGTTAATCAGATCCTATAATCCTGCTGTGGAAATATTGGGCCTCACTCAAAACAATAGAGACTGAGAATATTGTGGTTAAATTTCAACCAACTGCCTCCCTGGCCTGTTTGCCTAACCCCTACCCCCCTCTCCCGGGCCAGAGTCCTCCCAGCTTTATGGACCCCTGATAGGATTGACGGCCAGTCAGAAATGGGTGACAGGAGAGGGGAGAATGGAGTAGGGGAAGGGTGATCCTCTTGACTGCCACTTCATCCTGGCTTTTCCCTCCTACCTCAGGCCTTGAAGGCTGAGCAGGGAGTGGTGAAAGGGGTTGGAGCTAGTAGAGAAGCTCCATAGAGTGTGGGTCTCCACTCAGGGGTCAAGAGCAGTACTGTTGGGAATCATGCATGATAAAGACAGCCCTTACTCAAGACAGAAAAAGCCTGATGCCACACAAGAAGGAAAGACTGCCAATTTCATTTAGCATTGTTGCCTAGGGGGGATTTCAGGGTGTCCTGTCACGTGGGAGGAATGAGGAGGCACTAGTTGCGGAAGGCAAAGCTGGTAATAATTTAGGTTTTGTTTCATATATGACAGCAATACTAATAACAGTGTGATGACATTTGAAGGTGATACTGATGGCCCAACTTGAGTGGTTTTCTGGTAGTGGTAATGTCCGTTGTGTTGCCCTCTTTCATAGGTGTGAATTAAATCTGGCAGGAAAATTTACATAATTAGAATGGCAAGACAAAGGGAATAGATCATTTCAGAAGGACAAGCTGTACAATGGTATTTTGAATTAAGAAAAAAAGAAAAGATTGAGTGTCTGGATTGTACTAAAGGGGAAATTTGAGACTGGGCTCCATGGCTTACACCTGTAATCCCAGCACTTTAGGAGGCTGAGGTGGGAGGATTGCTTGAGGCTAAGAGTTTGAGACCTAGGCAACATGGCAAAACCCTGTCTTTGCAAAACATTTTTAAAATTAGTGTGGTGGGCCGGGTGCAGTGGCTCACACCTGTAATCCCAGCACTTTGGGAGGCTGAGGTGGGTGGATCACCTGAGGTCAGGAATTCGAGACCAGCCTGGCCAACATGGTGAAACCCCATCTCTACTAAAAATACAAAAATTAGCTGGATGTGGTGGCGCGCACCTGTAATCCCAGCTAGCCTACTTGGGAGTCTGAGGCAGGAGAATCGCTGGAACCTGGGAGGCAGAGGCTGCAGTGAACTGAGATCGCACCACTGCACTCCACCCTGGGCGACAGAGCAAGACTCCATCTCAAAAAAAAAAAAAAAAAATTAGTGTGGTGATGTGCGCCTGTAGTCCCAGGTACTCAGGAGGCTGCGGCAGATTGTAGGCTTATTGAACACAGGCAGTATGTTTTTGTGGCCATTCAGCAAGAAGCATAATGCCCCTGTTGGTGGTGATAGTGAATAAGCACTCAATGCAGTCAGTAAGTATACGATTTGAGTTAATACGTGTTTAAGGATTCCTGTTTCTTGTTGAATGTGGGTTTCTCTATCTAATTCCCAATACATTTCCTACAACCCTGTGCCGTTCCCTTAGTGATCTGGAATGTTTTCCCACTGGATCTTCTCATTTGCAGTTCGAGTCTGTGAATACCATGATGTTTAACCAACATGAGGTTTAAGCCAACTTTATAGGCTTCCTGTATCTCCCTTCCTGGTCAGCAATATAGCCCATTTTCTGGAGCTTCCAGT